GGTTTCTGGGTAATTGAGCACCTACCCCTCCCCGAAGTCGAGCTGCGCCATGTTTTCTTTATGTTTGTCATGCCATCGTACAGGGATGGCATCTTCATATGCCCTATTTGCACAATCTTCACGTTAGCTGAGGTTCACCTGACCCTCCCTTTGGGCTGAAAATGTCTTTTCATCTGATGGTAATTACGATGGAGGGGACACTACCTCTGTTAGTTAGTTTTGTCTTATAAAGGGACACCCCTTTGTTGAGATCCTGGCTATGGATACACCCTGTTTTGTTAATTAGAAAGAAAGCTTTGGGTAAAGAATACCCTTTCATGCAGATAGGAGATATTCCGTCGGCACTTTCACAAATGTGTTTGCGTAGCATTTTGAGGTTGATTTAACCAGTATTTTGTGCAGCAAATTTATGGTCACAATTGACTTCAAATTTGGAGAAATAAAACTGGAGAGCTCTTTATGCTTACTTGCAAAGTTATTTGCAATTTTTGTAAAAAAGCGGAATTAAAATGTAATGCCGATATCTCAAACCTCTTATACCTACAAGAAAATAAATAACATTTTCGGCCATTCTTTATTACGAAAGCTAAATATCATAGAAATCGGTTAAATCGTTCCTGCTGAAAAACGCGATCAAAATTATAACCAACACGCACATAAATAGGCTAGGGCCACTTTAAACAAATATCGTCAATAGTGGCAGAAAACGTGCAAGGGGATTGCAACTGTTTATGTTTGAGTTCTGCACAACCACGCATAACTACACGCGATTGATCGAGCAAATACACCTACATCACACATGTCCTGGCGCTTGCTGTTGGGAAGAAATTAAGGGAAAATCACAACATATTTCACTTTGCACAGAAAACATCGACTGAAAATTGATTATGAAACATTTTTTTTTTCTCTTAATATTATTGAAGAAATTTAAGGTTTTGTGCTTCTATGCATTTTAAAAATCTTCGGACTTAAAAAAAGTCTGTTTGTATATTTTGATATAACAGAGTGCACTTTCATGCAACTGTCTGCCTATACGCGCTATTAGACATCTATTTCATGCGAAACGCTTAGGCCATCCCAATAAAATGTTTCCATTCCCATCGCCCCGTCTCTTGTGATCGTGGGTCGATCGGTCGGTCGGGAAAAAAAAAGATTGAATTCTTGAAGGGGTCTGGGTTCAAAAGAAGGCCGGGCTGCTAAGTAAGAAAGCGTGCTTACAAAGTCAACTTGAAAACGCGGTCTTTTCGACTATCAAAATGGCTAAACAGTCTTTAAAAACCATAGTATCGACAAGGACTTCACATCATACCAATTGTTGTTAATAAAACAAGATCGTGTGCCTGTAAATTAAAGTATTTGCTTCTTTGACTAATGAATCTGCAATTTTTATTTTTGTTTGGGCGTGGCCCAAATAGAGTAATGGAAACGGCTTGTTTTGACGCAGACGACGATCGAATAGTATCCCATGATGCATTTTTCCAGAAGCATCACGCAATATCGCAGTCTTGGCAGATTCCATCGTGAAATAAGTTCGTTTTCTCGTCGGCTTTTTTCTCACTCTATTCCAGTAAAAGTAAGAAAATTTCATTATTTCGTTATTTGACATGATTTCTCCGATTTGCAATGGCTTAACAGCGAAGTTTGCGCATAGAAACATTTATCATCATGGTTTCAATTAGTCTTCCCATCACAAAGTGTTCAGTGACCCACAACAAGGTCATGAATATTCAAGATTTTTTGGAATAAATGTTGAAATCTTCCAAATGTAGACCTCACGCCAGCAAAATGAAGTCCTGAATATTGTACAGGCTAAGAAGTACCCATAAGTACCCACATTTTGAAGACTTTTTTATCGCCTAAAGATGGCTGAAATTTGAACCTTTTAGGACATTTCAACGCCATGTGTCATAATATATGTGTAAAGCCTGCTGAAGGCTACAATCTGTTGGGCGCTTTCGAGAGCGCTTTACGCCGTAGCAATCACTTTGTATTTTCAAAGTGGTTATATTTTTAAAAGGAATTTGACTATAATTATTTTAATTCGAAGAAGGAGTGGTGTATAATGGTGTGTTTCAGTGTGATAGGAACCCAAAGAAAGGTGCCACGCAGCATGCAAGCGGCACAACGTAAACAAGCCTACTCAGAATTTAAAAAAGAAAGATCAGAAACTTTATTTTTTCAAAAGAACAGATCAGTATTCTGGCCAGGAAATTTCTTTGAAGATTGCTTGAGTCAGTACCGGGTAGATTGTGCTTCAGAGAATTGTTTGTCGCATCGATAGGTTAAATTTCATTTGTAACTGCCGTTGTAAACTGAGCGTCTGTGAGCGCGATGCTGTAATAAATTCTCCTTTAGTAATTAGCTTCACAGTGTAGCGACTGTTTTGTTGGAACCACTTTTTAGATCAGCCATAGTTTTGGTTCTCCTCTGGCCTGGGTTCTCCTGGTGAACCTAGCGAAGCTTATCAATTGCCGAGTCTTTGTGTTTTAATACAGTGCGA